AGAAGCTACTAGTAACATAGGGCATCGCTACTAGGAGCAAGAAGCTAGTAGCAACAAAGGGCATCGCTACTAGGAGCAAGAAGCTACTAGTAACATAGGGCATCGCTACTAGGAGCAAGAAGCTACTAGTAACATAGGGCATCGCTACTAGGAGCAAGAAGCTACTGGCAAGAAGCTACTAGTAACAAAGGGCATCGCTACTAGGAGCAAGAAGCTACTAGTAACAAAGGGAATCGCTACTGGGAGCAAAAAGCTGCTAGTAACAAAGGGCATCGCTACTAGGAGCAAGAAGCTACTAGTAACAAAGGGAATCGCTACTAGAAGCAAGAAGCTACTAGTAACAAAGGGAATCGCTACTAGGAGCAAGAAGCTACTAGTAACAAATGGAAACACTACTGGAGCAAGAAGCTACTAGTAACAAAGGGAAACGCTACTAGGAGCAAGAAGCTACTAGTAACAAAGGGAATCGCTACTAGGAGCAAGAAGCTACTAGTAACAAAGGGCATCGCTACTAGGAGCAAGAAGCTACTAGTAACAAAGGGCATCGCTGCTAGGAGCAAGAAGCTACTAGTAACAAGGGCATCGCTACTAGTAGCAAGGGCATAGCTACTAGTAGCAAGCATCGCCACTAGTAGCAAGGACGCTACTAGTAGCAAGGGCATCGCTACGAACGGAGCAAGGACGCTACGAACGGATATGAAGTAAACAAACTGTCGGCGCGTGGAAATGAAATACACACGTCGTCTGCAACGGTCCAGGTCTCCTGGTTGGCCCAGGTGTCAAGCAACGACCATCGGTCCAGGTATCGCCATCTGATGCCCGGCTTTACCCAGGCACTTCCTGAGCCTGGCGAAGTGAAGACGAACGGACCCTGGTGACATGAAAGAGGATCCGTAGACTCGCTGAGCGTTTTGGTCCGATTCTACTACCTACTAGCTTCTTGTTACTAGCACCTTCTTGCTACTAGTAGTAATGGCCTCCAACCTAATAGCCGAATAGCGATGACTTCCACCTAGTAGCATGAAAGTAGACTCGTTGAGCATGTTTTTCTCTTTGTAGGTCATGTATCAAAATGTCTACCAATCACAAAATACCACCGATAATTGAACAATCTTTAACATGGATTCTGTATCAATCATCGCAGTCACCAGTCTTTTGAAGTGAGTTGTCCAATCGAAGTCGTTCCACCCAAACCGTTCCCAGACCCTTCCCCACAGGTGTCCACAGTCTGCCACGGCGGCGCCTTCCACGAAAACCTTCACACTGGGAGGGAAAATCCCTTGGTTCCTAGGGCTTGTGACCTCAGCGTGGATCCGCGCAGTGTTGGCACGGAGCTTTCAAAATCTGGGGTGAACTCCATGGCAAATCAACGCCTAAGCAACAGTTTTTGTGAACTCCAAAATGCTGAAGCCCAAAAAGACTCGGGGTCTGGAAGTTCCATTTGGGCATCACTCTGTGAGAAGGCCGATAGCCTCAGGTCCAGTCGGGATCTTGCTTGAAAAGTAGTTAACATCATCCACAACATCTGTTCTTCGTGTCTTTTCCCGAAGGCTTTGAGACTTTAGTGAAAGGCCTTGTTTCAGGTGTTTATACAAGTCGTTGTCCCAGTGTCTCTCAATTTTGACGTTGCCTTCAGTGGTCTGTGGCCGCAGGCCAGCCTTCACTGTAGGCAGGTTTGGTACCCAAGAACCCTAGGCATCCGAGGAAAAACACTCGCCATCGCAAAGGGGTGCGACTGGCAATGAAACTTCGCTTCACTTCTTCGAGCTGTCGCTGCCTGATGCATTTAGTACAAGGACGCTAGCGGGTGGCTCCTGGCCTTACTAGTAACAAGAACGATACTAGGGGCTCCTGGCCTTACTAGGAGCAAGGACGCTATTAGGTGCCTGACGCATTTCACATAGGTGGCTGCGACCTCAGTCACTGAGGTCCCGTCTTTTCTTCGACGCGTGCTTCCGAAAGGGTGGAAGAATCGAAATCGACTCGTTGTTGAAACCACGCAGTTTCAAGGACGCTACGAACGGGGCTCCTGGCCTTACTGCTGGGAGCAAGGACGCTACGAACAGAGCAAAGGGCATCGCTACGAACGGAGCGAGGTTTCACGCTACGAACGGGGCTCCTGGATATTGGGTTCCTAGAGTTCCACCGTAGTTCCACCCCCACCCACCGTCCCACCCATGGAAGATCAGACTACGCCTCGGTGACGGCGCAGGTGTACTGGTTGAACTTGACTGTCACAGGGGCCTCGGTGCAGCGTTTGCCGTCCTCGGGTCTCACGCCACATTGGGAAGAGGATCTTGAAACCAAAACTGATGGAAAGGTGGCAAGAAAAGACCACAAAACTGATTGCAAAGTCAATCCCCTTTGAAGATGTTTCAGAAATTGCTCTGTTCTCCAGCAATCGATGGTCGCTAGTCACTAGTCCTTTTTGCATGCATCTCACCAGCTGGATGTCTTTATTGCTGCGTTTGAGTAACCACAGTTGGGCATGTAAGTTGAGTCAATGAGAGAGTATTCCCTTCCATTTTAGCAATTTCCAGTTCAGAAACCAAGGAGTGACAAAGACATCATCGCCCGAGTTCGAGTTCAGCTTGAATCGCATGAAAAACTCATTGATCCTTCAGATTCCTTCCTAGGTTGGAAGCCATTTGGTTGGAGGCCATTCCTTCTAGGTTGCAAGCTATTAGATAAACTATGATAAACTCATTATAACTCATTGATCCACACCGGACTCCGGCTGCCTTTTTGGGGGGCAAAACTCCGAAGAGCGCGCGCGTCGCGGAAATTCAATCGAGGTCGCGGGGTCTGCCGTGCACGGCGGATCTTGGAGCAGACCCGCTGTGTGGCGGATCGTGGAGTGGGGAGGAGGGTCCACCCCGTGCCCGTCTGTCCACAGAAACGGTTCATCGAAACCTCCCAAAGAAACCAAGAGATTACAATAGATTTGTATAGTGCTTGATATTTGAAGGAACATGGGGCGAAGAAGCATATTCTTGACTATGCGAATCTCATGTTCACCTGCACTTGGGTACAGCTTCTTTTTGAATGGTGTCTTGTCCAGACCAAAACGTGCATCAACCACTATAGATTGTTGTCTGAAAGACTGGCATGGTCGGATGACAATGCTTTGGTCACGCCAGCTAGGACCCTGGTGGAATGTCTCACCTCTGGGATTCTCGAACTGAGTGGCAAACATTGTTGTTGAGAATATCATGATGTTGATCCCAAATGATGCCTCGAAGGATCTCAAGAGATGTGATCATTCCGTATCTTCCTGGTCTGAAGAACTCCAAACCTCCATACCCACTTGCCCTTCTGGACCAGACCTTCTTAGATGATCCTGCTACACCATACCCACCTGAGTGTGGCTCAACCTAGGAAACCAAATCAAACTGGTAGGTCCTGCCCTCCAAGGTCAGAGACCCTGCGGAAACTTCTGGGCCCTTCCACTTTGGAAGCACGCCCGCCAGTCATGTGAAATCCCCATCTCGCGGGGGCGGCTTCCCGGGTTGGCCGCTGTGGCGGAAGTATGTGTGGCAGCTCCAAGGGGCCACGATGACTTCATGGGACTCGTCATGGCCATCGCTGAGTAGGTTGGAGGCCATCGCTAGTACGACAACTTCATGGGACTCTTCTGAACAATTACAATTTGTTTTCGATCTGTACTGACAGTAGGATTCACTTACTTAAACTACGTGGTGCTTGACTGCTGTAGTCTGTGTACCATGTACCATGCACCATGTACCATGTACCCAACCCAGTGTACCATGTACCAAAACTGCCTACTATGTACAATTCACATGGTACGATCATGAGAGGGAGACAATGACAATGCAATAATACCCAGTTCTGTAGACAAAACATATATATATATATGTCAATACTCATCACTAAGCACCCAACCCTGGAACAAACGAACCAAAGAAACTGATGTCTGAGAAAATCCTGCCAGTGATGCAAGGCTTGGGGTGGAGGTCTTTGGGACCTTTCCCTTCCTGGAAGGCCAAATCTTGAAAGAATTAAACTTAATGCTAATAGCTTCCAATAGCTTCTTGTTACTAGTAGTAAGGCACTTGTTACTAGTAGCGATGCACTTGTTCCTAATAGCTTATTCTAATTACGTTTAAATTATTGTTTCTACTAGCAAACATTGTTACTACTAGTAAGGCACTTGTTACTAGTAGCGATGCACTTGTTACTAGTAGCTTCTTGTTACTAGAAATGCACATCGAACAAGATTGAACATCGAAGTCAAACCTCCCCTCCCGAACCCCTGAGTACTTCCAGCTCGAAACCTCTCGCCACCTGTTGAACATGTCAACGCATCAACACCCCAGGATTCTGCCACCTATTCCAACTCCGGGAATTTTCCGGCAGGACACCGCCTCCCTCCTTTGGGGAGGACTCTCTTCACGTGATGCAACAATTGGCATCCTGCACTTCTGCGGCGGACACGCTGGCCACCGCGCCTTGCCCTCCAAAGGCGCCCACCGTCTTCAGGTGCCCGGGGTTGTTCATCTGCTGCGCATAGGTGTAGCCTCCCACAGAGAGAGAGAGAGAGCGTAATAGCGATGGCCTCCAACCTAATAGAGTTATGTTGGGCAATGGCAGCCATACATGACCAACCATCAACTAACTTTTTTGCGAAAAAAAGCGGAAAAATGAGAAAACAAAAGTAAATGAAAGTGCAAAAGCAGCGCAATTTACTTTGTTTGTGCATGTGTTGTGTTTCTTTTTTTCCTGGTACCACTTCTGCACTTATGAGAACTTCTACCCATCAGCAATATTTGCTGTACGCTCCTAGGAAGAAAGCGAAAAAACTACGAGAAAAGAACAAGCGAAAATAAGGCGAACAAAAATGTGAAAATAAAGCGACAAACACGCAGCTCCTCGTATCTATGGCTGGCGCGCCCGACATAGAGAGAGAGGGAAGGACGGATGGGGAAACACACGTTTCGCCCCAAAAAGCCGACTCTGCAGGTCTGAGACCTTTGACAGCTCAGATGGGCGGTTTCCCTTGGATCCGAATCTGTTCACCGGATATTGGGAGCGCTTCCACGAGCATCGTGCTTTGCAATGGGGCCGATTCCAAGTTGGCGCTTCGAGCATTTCGAAGATATTGAGCTCCGATTCCAATGGCCCAGTTCAGTGAGGGGGGGGCTTCTTTGTCCATGTGGATCAGTGTACCTCACGTCTAGAATGTCCGACTGACTTGGTGCCTTGCATATCCAATGACAGGTCCTCCAAGCCGGCCAAGGGATTTCGTATCCTCAGAGCAGCGGAAGCGGGGCCGCGCTGGAAGCAGTGGTGCGGGCACAGGAGCACCAAGTCAGGAGCAGTTGGAAAGGAAGGCGCACGTCAAGAGGTGCAATGCAATAACAGTGCTCAATGATACTCAATGAGTACAAGGACCAGGTGAAACTCCTTGGACCGCTTCGACTACTAGGCTGAAATGATCGAAGTGGATTTGGGCGGAAGTGACCCTTTGATGTGCCCATTGAAACATACTGAAGCTTCTCTTCTCTGAGCGAACATAGGGGCGGGTTGATGTAAAACTAGATCCGCAAAAAGTCTGACCAGAACTGATTCGCGGCATTCAAAAGAAGGCCCATGTGACAACAGCAACTCATGACTCGACCAACGCAAGTCGATCTTTCATAGAATCCCATAGAACATATTACATGGCTTTAATTTACCACTTCAAAGAATTCTGTTGATGGTTCTTCCATGTTCTTCCCGAACTCATTTCTATTGGCCTTTTTGGGTTTGAGTCACATTCGGGACTCTGTGCGTTTGTTCTGTGCCCTCCGTCTTCCCTGAGCAACCGACCTGACATCGGGCATGTTGGGCATCCCCGGTAGACCTCGTTGTGCTTTTGAGGACTCAGGTGGCTTAGGTGGCTCGGGTGGAACACCAGAGACCCAACGACGGATGGGAGTCTTGATCATGGTGACCAAGGAACTCTAGACCAGTGAGAGTACTGTCACACTCTTGGATGGAGCTTTCGCAGCTGTTGGGATGGTGTTTAAGTGGTGAATGAGGCATGAGTGAAGTGGTTCTCGATCAACAACGCCTTTTGATGTGTGTTTGCTGGTGGCTCGCACCCCAAAGTGCCAGACTGGAAGTCTTGCAACCTCTCTCTCACACATCTGGGAAGGGTCTTCCGCCCTCCCACTGATGCCGCCTGTTCACCCAGGTGCCGCCCGCCTGGTAGTCCAATGTCAGGTAAACCAGGCAGCCCAAGACCCGGAAGTCCCGGTCCTGGGCCCACTGCAAAGCCAGAGAGGTCCGTCTGCCTCAGGGTGTGAACGGGCATCTTGTTGGTTCATCGGTGCCCGGAACGGCTGAAGAGCCTCCTTCTCCCAAAAAAAACAACTGTGCCAGGGAATTTCAAGCGAAACCTCTACACTTTGGAAGATGATCTTGGAGGCCATCGCAAGTAGCTTTCTTCAGTCCAGCGACGTGGTTTTGTTCTTCGTGGTTTTTCGGGGTCCCTTGGAAACACGTCTGCAAAGGAGTGTTCATGGCCATACTCTGGTGACACCTGGTTGGTTTCAATCACGAAGCTGATTCATAGGCGAAGGTGGATCCCATGTTCTGAAAAAAAAGGAACTAAGTCCTCGCGTGAGTCTGCTTAAAGCCAGCAGAGAATATTGAGAAAGCAAGTTTCAAGGCACACACGACACCGTAAGTTTCTGAGCATGGTTTGTTCAAGTGGCTGGTTTTCCAACTAACACAACTATTGGTCGTCGGACTCGAGTTGGACTCCTCAAGTCTGCCGCGCGGCAGCTGAGCATTGGCCATGGGTTTTCCACGACCTTCAGCTTCATCGAACATCCTCATTTGGCGCGGGCAAACTGGAACGATCTCATTTGGGATGTGCATGTTGAGTTTCGACATAGGGCACACCTGCTGATGAAGTTCTTCCACTGGTAGTTGGGGAAAAGCTGAACCCACTGTTGCCCTGCAACACCAACAAGAACCTCCCCAAGAAAAACGAATTGGCCAAAGCACCAAGGGACAGGAGAAATGACCGCATGTCAAACAGACCGGACTTAGCTGTTTGTCTCGGAGAATAGGAATCAGTCGACGTGCTGTTCCAAAGAGAGCCCCATCATTTGGAGACATGATCGAATGGCTCCTGAAGTGCTTCATCTTTGAGTCTTCACTTGGCGGACTCCACTTGATCTGATTGAATGAAAGACCAGGTGCCTTGGTCGAGAACCCGTCTTTGGCAATTTTTGGCTGCGTTCTTTCTTGGTTTTTGGCCCCACGGAGAGTCGTTCCTCTCTCCAGCGCCAGGCGTCTGTGGCAACTTTTCGCTCAGGGCGTCCACACGCTGAAAGCCACAAAGCGAGTAGGGGATGGCATTCCTCGTGGGGTTGAAGAGCGTCTTCGGCGTCCGACCGTCGCGGAAGAGCGAGGGAACCCTCAACAGCGTCTGGCCTCCACCCAAAAAGCGTGGTGGGATGGACGTGAGATGTCGTGCCAAAAGAGTGGCTTGAGGCGTGAGATGGCGTGAATGTTGAGAAGTGATTGCTCTTGGTGGATTCCAGGTGCATAGTGTGTTTCTTTATACGGTGTCGTGTGTACTCTTTTCAGTGCCTTATCAGGAAGCGCAGGAAAATACCCAACAGTATGCTCAGTGGAAACCAGCAGACAACTCAGACAACAATCTTCAGGACTGGCAAACTCATCCACCCACCAGACCAACCTCCATCAGTCTATTCCTAACCGCCTCCCCATCAGACCATCCTGGCTTAAGGACCGACCGACTGAGGGACCGGTCAAGTGTCAAGGGCATGGAGGGATTCACCGCGATCCAGGAGCGATGCTGCGTGATGGGCTTCATCACCAAGGGCCGCGTGGAGTAGCAGCGGAAGATCATCCGATGGCAGGTGTACTTGGCCTAAGGTGGGTGAAAAGAAAAGAGGCGACATGATCTGGCCCAGGCAGGCACACATAGATATCCGTAGGATATGCCCATATAGGCTCACCAGTTGACAGTGAGATGGGTTGGATGGTTACACTGAGGAGTTCCTTCTTGGATTTGTCGCAAGCTTTCACTCTTGGGTCGACCTCGTCCGTGCTTCACGGATGAAAATGTTCACCACTCACGGTCACTCGTGATGTACAGGTGTCGCCGAGACAGGTGTCGCCGAGTCTAAGAGTCTCATCAAACAAGAGAAGACCAAGTACACAAATCTGCCCAAATGGAAGTCTGGAATGCGGAAGACGCCCCCAGCACATCAATGGAACCACCCCTTTTTCTTCTAGACCAAAGCCAAAATCATCACTGCACAACTTCTAGAAGTCGGAATCGGCGCGGCGGCCCCGTAACCCCTTTTCGGGTCCCAGCTGGGATGGACACCATGGCCAAATACTTCCCGGGCTTCATCACCTGCAACGATCGCTCAGCAATCCAGGTGAAAGTGACGGTTTTTCACGCAGCGCTCCATAAGAAAGGCTAGTAGGTTGCAGGCCATCGCTCTTAGGTTGGAGGCCACTTTGGAGATCGCGCCGAGGTCTCCAGCTGATTTCTGTCTTTTTGTGAGTCAACAGTCGCAAGATGTAAGGCCTGTGATCAACATGGAAGCGCCCTTTGCATGCCATTGGCTGGAAAGAGAGAACACATTTCAACATGATTCAACATGATTCATGGCTTTTTGGGGGATCCCCGTAGAGGCGCCTCGTCTTCCGTTTGGGTGTTTGTCCTTTCTTTCACTTAAGGTCTCGAGATCACCGGCGAACGCCCTCGCCGCCCTCGCCTTGACGCTGCAACTGGCATCACGCGTGTGGCCCCAGGCAGACATGTGGACCATGTAGATCTCTCCCCCTCCGTTGTCATCCACATCCTTGCTGCACCTCGGCACTAGTCACTATAGTAGCTTCAGGTTACTTTTGCTGGCCAGGCCTCCAATCTACTTCGATTCTCCGGTTCCTGTTCCCAGTCGATCCACGCTCCCTCCGTCGCACGCTTCGCCTCCGTCCCACTGTCGTGGACCCGAGAGGCTGGAAGAAGCGCAAGAGCAGTGGCGCCTGCATGGCCCGCGACAGCTCCGGGGTGTCGTGGTTGTCGCCGTAGCGCAGATCGGTCTGGGTCACTTCCAGGACCAGTTCGTTGGGCGTCTCTAAGATCCTCGGTCGGGGCCGTTGGGATGGGTTGGGATGTGTTGGGAAGAGGGAGATGCGTGTGTCAGCAACATGATTCGACCGTGTTGAGTAATATGCCTTGTCCGAAGGCTCAAGGCCTTCAAGTGGTCTCTTCAGACATCAAGGTCAACTATACGGTTTTCAATTGTTGATTCGACCAAACCAAGAAATATCGCTGCGTCTCACTCATTCCTCATGCTTTCCAACTCTGCTGCCAGCACGACTTGGCAGAGAACCGCGTGAAATAAAGCTGTTCAGCTTAGTTTACCTTCCACAAATGCATGTTGAGGGTCTGCGTTGCCTTTTGGTTTAGGCAATAGGCTGAGAAAGTGAGAATGCCCAAGATTGATGATTCAAAGGTATCTTGTCCAAATATTGTCCAAAGCCCCTTCTCACGTTGGCCATCCTCAACCATTCATCAAGGGAAGAGAACCTGTGGGAAGATCCTTTTGGTGTTGGCGAAATCTCCCACAGCCGCGAGTCAGACCGCGAGTGCCTCCACAGCCCGACTGATTGTTTTCCTAAACAGGTCCAGGCATCTCCATAAGGAAGCTCGGGGAGGTCTCTGTATAGACATCACCTCCAAACGACACATCTTTTCTTTTGGGGAGTTCGCTGGTGAGAAATTTGCCGTTTTGGGGGGTGTGCCTGGCGATAGAATCAGCACACAAGAACTCCGATAAGGGGATTCCATCACCTGGGCTCCAAATCGAAAGTAAAAGCTGTTTTCATTCCATAGGAGGCCATCGCTAGTAGGTTGGAGGCCATCGCTTGTTACCGTCAGGATCCATCGGGTGGGCAACTCCCTCACCCCGACCCAAAAATGCACTGGAACCACTGGCGGCAGGCCCTGAAGCAGTTGGATTCAAAGACTCAGACCGTCCTTACCTGCCTTTGAAGCACAACCGCCGTACCAATCTCTGCAAAAAAAAGAAACTGCAACTCGAACCCGGTTTTACATCTTGTTGTAATCCCTGCTTCTCTCTTCTACTTAGATTCTACGCACCGATGCACCCACCTTGAAAGGCATAGATCTCCTCGAAGAAGGCTTCACCCGGGATCCAGCCCGGCGAGAGGTTCCCCAACGTCGAGATGGAGTTCACCTCGACGCCCAGACGTCCGGTGAGACGGGAGGCTTCGAAGCGACAAACTGCTCTGGTTTGTGAAGCCAGCTAATGCCCAACAGAGAGGGCACCTGACAGTGTTTGTAGTAGGAATCTAGGGATATATGTAATGTAGACTGATGAACAAAGAGGTTTTACAATCCAAATCGGGGAGGAGGATTTGTGCCGCATATGTCTACAGAGCTTTCCACACAATTCTTCGGGAAGGCCCCCGCGCCAGCCGGCACTCGTAGATGGTGTCGAAGAGCTCCACAAAGTCGTCGATCCGCAACCAGACCTTCCAACACGAGACTTGCGATGTTTCGGGAGAACAACTAGCCTCGCTAGCAGCTTGGAGGACAATGGCAAGTAGCTTGCAGGCCATGGCAAATAGCTTGGAGGCCATCATTTAGCAGCTTGGAGGCCATCGCTAGCAGCTTGGAGGCCATCGCTAGCAGCTTGGAGGCCATCGCTAGCAGCTTGCAGGCCATCGCTAGCAGCTAATTGAAGAAGCGGAGTTGATTAGATTAAAACGTTAATTGTCAACATGTCATCTCCGCCAGGTCGCGAAGCCCTCGGCGATGCCATAGCCCTCAGCCACGGGCACTTTGCAGCTCGGCATCCGGGCCACCGCCAGGCTGGGCGCCGACATGCACACGCACACCTAGGAGGTTGGACGCCATCGCAAGCAACGCAAGTAGGTTGGAGGCCATCCCAATTAGGGTGGAGGCCATCCCAAGTAGGTTGGAGGCCATCGCAAGTAGGTTGAAGTCCATTTCTAGTAGGGTGGAGGCCATCGCTCTTTTTTGTTCTTTTCGACAGAGCTACTCTCGTAGCTCATGGGGTGCTCCGCCGGAGCCAATGCGTCCTAGCGACGTATGGCACACCTTCATACTTCTGTAGCCGGAAGATGGCCGAAGCATAGTGCTGCTCCATGGGTATTCTCCTCTTGGAGCATTCCTGCGGAACAGAAAACCCAGATGCAGAAGCTTATGCCTAGCTTACATGACAGCTTCATTCTGAACATATTCATGATCGTGCTGCCTCAAAAAATTGCAATCTTGAAGACTCTATCTTTCCGCCTCTACGCAAACCCATTTCTCGTAACATTCGAGTTCGACCCCGAAAGAATCCACGAACAGCTAATCACGGTCCTTGTCGTTGATGTTACAACCAAACAGGCACATGTCTTGCAGGAAGTACATGTATTGCCAGAGTCTATCTTGCGCGACGTCCTCCGTTCGAATGACGTTGAAATGGATAGAAATGGCAACACAAAGAGCCCAGAAGATTCGGATGGGAAAAGTTTCAACAACTGAACACAAATTGAGTACCATGCAACACCTGACGCTCGGGAACTGTGCATTTGATCCCTTTTCAAGTATACACCATGTAACATATGTCTGTCGCATGGACCGGCTTTAGCTCCCCAGCCCAAATGCACCGACCAACTGGGAAATGAACTTCGAGTCTCCGCCGTTCCGAAGCGCGTGGAGCATCCGCCGGTGAGGTCAGTCATCACCTATCGCCAGGGCAATGAACGGAGGAATCCAAAAGAGGACTGTTGATGGAAGAGTTTACTGGGCCTCTGAGGCCTCTGAGATGAAGGATTTGGTCATGTGGGAGTTTGAGTGGGAAGCAAGTAGTTTCTAGGCCCTGTTGACGGCGTTCCTGGGTCTCTCTTGTCATTGCCCGGGCTCCGGGCAATATTCAAGTACCCTTCTGAAAGCATATCATGTCCAACAATTTAATTCTATTCTGGGCAAGCCAGGCAGGACCTCAACACCTCCTCCCCAAACCCCTTCCATATCAAAATCCAATCAAAATGAACTCAAAGGCAACACACCGGCCTCCCACCTAAGAGCGATGGCCTCCAACCTACTACCAGTAGCGATGGCCTCCACCCTACTAGCAATGGCATCCACCCCACGAAAAGACGGTGTTCACCGGTAACAACACCGTCGCCTCCTCGACGTGTCCGCCGCCGCCCAGGCTCTCCCAGCTGCCGTGGAGCTTGGCGTAGGCCTTCTCCACCAGCGCCGGCCACGGCAGACTCGGCCAGAACTCGGTCCTGCCCGTGGCAGAACTTGGTTGGAGGCCGCTGTTAGGTTCGAGGCCATGGCTAGTAGGGTGGGCCTCACAAGGTGGAACTTGGTCCTGCCCGTGCACCGCCATGTTTTCCAAAAAGAGCCCAAAAGAACGGCGCGTGGACAACATGGAATATGATGTTCTTTGCGTCGGCAAGAGTCAGGGAGGCTCAATGATTCATTCGTGTTTGTGTCTTGTTGGTCGAACAACATGAGGATTGGCGCAGCGTTGATTTGAAACGAGTGCATCGACTGCTTGGCTCCTGGACTCTACTTGAGATACTCCAAGGTCCTGTGATTCTATGTGATTCTGTGCACCTCCGTTGAAGGAAGAACTCCCTTCTTTGTCAAGTTCCACGGTGTTCGGGTGCTTGACGTAGGGTATGGAAGATGCCACACAAGGTTCTATCCACTCTATCCGCTGTCTTCGTTCCACCATCCCCATTCTTCGCTCTCGCCTCCCCAACCCATCCGACTGTGCCTGGCGGTCAATGGGTTCATGGCGCGGTCGAAGGGTATGGCATCATCAATCACGACGTGATGCCATTGACCATGTTTGTAGAGTCGCAAGATGTAGACTCCTTCGGTGCGAGCCCGATGCCCCATGCGAGTCAGGTGGCACGGTGCCCCGAGGGAGTGAGTTGACAGCGAGAGGTAGACCCGAAAACAGACGCAAGCGAGGGTCCCAGGGTCTCTTCAAGCTCCTGGAGTGCTTGCAGTGGACCACTGTGAAAGACTCCGCCTAATCTGTGGCCTGAAGTGGAAATGAAAAGACCTGACAGTAGCCAACAGCCAAATCATGAGGAGCCTGGCGCCTTCCTCAAACCACGGTGCCTTCTCCACCCGTGGTGCACGTTACAAACGTGCACGTCCACAGGACCAAGTCCCTCACAAGCTCAGGAGAGGACGCCGGACGCCGGTAAGGAAACCCTTAGAGCTCGGGAAACCAAACCGAACCCCCAATGGAACAGTAAATTTATGTGCAAGTGGCTGCAAGTGGCTGCAAAATGGAAAATCAAAATGCGCACCTCGCGAGCTCAATGAAAATTCGTCTAGATTCCAAGCGAAGCACACACACTCTCGGTATTCAACAGAATTTCATTCAGTTAGGAAAAAACAAACCTGGGCGCCACTCCATCCCAGTTCAGAATGTGTCCTGTGGATGGGTCAGAGAACTTCATGTCCGCAAAGATTTGTCCGATTAACCAAGGTTTCATGGCTACCGCCTGCATCCCCGCAATGAGGTAGAAGTCCTCCAGGATCCCTGACGCCGGCCACGCGAGACTTGTCTTTTCTCTTTTTGTGTCTTTTTTTAGCCCGCAGGGGGGGGGGGCCTAGGCCGCTAGTAGCTAGGTTAGCTAGTAGCTTACTTGAGCTACTAGGAACAGGACCTGGGTGACCTGATGGTCACGTTAGTCACTCTTAATTAGTATATAGGTTAAGGTATCGTTCGTTAACAGAATCAACCAAACAAATCACTCCACCAATACAGAACGGCATTTAGCACAATCATCTCTTCACCCAGTCTGAATGTCAAGAGAACCATGTCTGTGAGAAAAGGGTCTTGCGGACTCCCCTTCAGAGATTGGACACCCTTCGGTGATTCTCCTTGAGGAAGAAGAGTTTTTGAGGAAGGCCAAAACGGGGCTCACCAACAATCACTCCAAATCAAAAACCCCTCCAACCTACTAGCGATGGCCTCCAACCTAATTGTTGAGAAACACAGAACCCGCACTGAGAAGATGCGTGCAAAATCCGCCCACGCCTTGATAAATCCGCCCAGCGCGTGGCACGATACCAGGCTGGCTAAAAGGATAAGGAGCATCCATCACCATCTCCTGGTTTTGAAGTGAAAAGCAAACAGTCTACCCCAAAGGCCTTCACAGTCACTGGAGGTCATCTGGGAACAGTTTGGTAGAAAACGCACATGAGTTCAGTTTCTCACTCTCATTGGTCCTTCTTCATCTTAGAGAGCAAGGACGCTACGAACGGGGCTCGTGGCCTTACTACTAGGAGCAAGGACGCCACTTGGAGCTCCTGGCATCGCTACTAGGAACAAGAAGCTATTAGAAACAATGAATACATAAAATTAAAGCTACTAGGAACAAGTGCATCGCTACTAGTAACAAGTGCCTTACTAGTAGTAACAATGTTTGCTATTAGAAACAATAAATGCGTAAAATTAAAGCTACTAGGACCTTTTCATCGCTTTCATCTTCTCGCTGAAGGACCGATCGCGCCTGCAAGCGTCGCCACATGTCCGGCTTCTGCAAGCTGCTGTAGTCGGGCACCTCGTTGCCTTTCGGGTTAGAACATGTCTAGGCACGCCGGGTTGAGAGTAGGCGATTGAGAGTAGTGGATTGAGAGTAGTGGTGTGCACAGACCCCGATGTTTGTGGTTTATATATGGACCCCCCATCTTTCTAAGACGTCTTCGGATGGTGCCATCTACTCTGAAACCACTGTCAGATATGTCGGCCTCAAGATGGAAGGAACAACAGAACGGATGACATCGGTGAAAGCCGAGACTTGGGACCCAAGTGGCTGACAAAACGGTAGGATTCCGTAGCATTTGGATCCTATAGACAGGTCTACTTGTTCCGTTTCTGTGGCGCGACAGATGGGCGAGGCAACTTGACGGATCCCTCGATCTGCCCCACACGGCAGTCTCAGCATTTGTCAATCAGGCGCAAAGGCGTGCTCCCAAATCGCTTGCACCTGTACCCTTTCGATGCTCTGACAGAGACGGCGCCGGTCCAAACGGTGCACGTGTCCAAGAAAAAGAGCGAATCAATCGGAACTTCTGAAAAAGTAAGAAGAAGCTACTATAGTAGCTCCTGGCATTACTAGGAAGAAGAAGCTTCTAGTAACAAGGTGCATCGCTACTAGTAGTAACAAAGCGCATCGCTACTAGGAGCAAGGACGCTACTAGGGGCTAGTTACTAGGAAGAAGAAGCTTCTATATAGTAACAAGTAACAAGGTGCATCGCCACTAGTAAGTAACAAGTTGTCTTTCTAATAAAACAGAAACCACCCGGGCCCGGAGCAGCAAAACAGGGCGTTTCACCGCCACCCATGACGACCCTTCCTTCACCACAGACCGTCGGGTCGTGCGTCTCAAAAGAAAAGGCTTCCCTGACTTCGACTTCGTTGAACATTGAGCAATGTTTTTATTATACATGTTATATTATATTACATTTTAATATATTATATCATATTATATATTAATGTATAGATTTAGTATAAATATTTAAGACAATCTTTTTTGTTCACGTTGTCTTTAATTCCCTTCGTGTCGGGGTCGAGGAAGTGTATTGAAGATCTGATCGTAATTGTCCGGCAGTGCTTTCATCCAGCGCTCGGTCTTCGCACGGATGAGGCCATAGCTGGGCACACCGTTCGGCACGTTCTGGATTGCTCTCTGCAAGAGGTCGTTGGGCCACCGCAGCCGCTGAGTCCCTTCGGACACGGAACGCCCCTCGATGCGACTCAAAAGGCCCGGGATGGCATTCGGATCCACGACGGCTAGGATCAACACCTTGGGCATGGTGAACACCCTAAACGGTTTGGTGAACATCTCGAGACATGCGTTTTTGGTTTGACCAAAAAAAAGAAGGATCTGAGCTCAGACACCCATGTGGCATAGACCTCCAGAGACAGGCTGCCAAACTTGCAAAGGTCTCTTTGCCCACTTTGGAAGAAGTAATCCTCCCACCATCTCAGGCGATCCTCGTTCCACACAGCCTTCACCTAGCGAGTGCTCATGGTATGGTCTCCGGGTCCAACGGTCCCGACACCGGACACCGAAGCCAAACAGGTCATCTACCAGGACCAGACACCGTCGGGGTGTCTAGTCAAGAGGCCCCAAAGTGTCCATTAACCACCCCGCCTGGGGGTCCTGGTATATAACCGTTTTTACATGGTGAAAAACCGCTAAACAGCGGAACGAAGCAGGTTGTCGCTTTCTCGCCTGCGACCTGAAGCAGGTTTGATCCACCAGCGCTGCACCGAGCAAGTGCCACAAGGGCTCATCCTGGGAGTCTCATTCGGAGTAGCGATGCCCTTTGTTACTAGAAGCTTCTTGTTCCTAGTAGTAAGGCCAGGAGCCCCTAGTAGCGTCCTTGCTCCTACTAGCGATGCCCTTTGTTACTAGTAGCTTCATCTTGTTTCTTTGGGTCGGATCCTTGCAAATGGCCCGAAAGCTTTACGACACGTTGGGACACCGTCATGCAGCACCCGTCATGCACATATTATTGATGCTTAGAGAAACTGAAACACTGGACACAAGCAGAAGTGCGATGAGACCACTCAAAGTTGCAGCTTCATCTTTTTACAAATTGCTCCAGCATTCTTGGCGACCAAGGGTCTTCTGGATAAATCTCCAACAAGTCTGCCAAACACACTAGCTCGGTCTCCAGCTCGATTGGCGTCTCCTCACAGCGGCGCAGTGGTGATGGCTGCTCCTCCGTCCGCGCAGTGCGGCGGGCGCAGTCATGGCGACTGGCCGAAACGGTTTTGCGCCTCTTCTGCTTCTTCGGAACCACCACCTCCGCATTCTCATCCTGGGCATCTGTGTCTGGATGTGCTCTTGCTCGCCTGAGGGCGGCGACCGGCTCTCTTTGAGGAAGCAGGTCCATCAATAGATGGAGCGGCCCGAAGTCTCGTTCGGGGCCGAGGGGAATCCGGTACATGAATGGAAGCAGTCGGTTGATCTCGCGTTGAAGCCACCCTTGAAGAGCTTCCTTCTCGGCATCTCCCTTGCAAGCATTCCACAGGATATTCAACCGTATCAAGCAATCGAAGTTCAGTTCAATGTCAATGTTAGGTCTTCGTGTCAATTCTAACAGACTCTTCAGCTTTTGGTAGCTTTCAAGCATCTTCTCCTTCGTATCCATGATTTCTCGCACCTTGCTCATGATAGTCCTACTGTAGTCCAGGTCTATTGCCAATTGTATCATCTTTTGATCTTCTTCCCGTTCAGTCTCTGGCAGCTTCTCCTCTCGCTCTTCCTTACCCCAACAAAGGAAAGAGCAAGTTGGATGCATGGCTTCTCCAAAGAGTCTCTTGGTGCTCACTTCGATTGCACCGTACTTCACACGCTCACGCCTGCGCACCACCGTCTCGCGAGCCTTTTGCTTCTGCAACACATTTGGTGCCAAGATCTGCTTGAAGCGCTTGGCCATCCAAGCGCCCAGCCACAAGCAGCCAACCCCATAGGTACGCTTAGGGATCCCTCCCGTGTGGTCAATGTAGAACACCTTTTGAGGATCTCGCATGATGCGGCCCTCTCGCCGAGAGAAAGCTCGATCTTGAAAAAATACTCTTGCTTTACTATCAGAAGCTGCTTTGTGTGCCTGTTCCCGATGCTCTTTCCGCAGGTCCTTCATGATGGAGGACAAGACCTTACAGATGACAGCTGGCGTTTCCTCCTTGGAAAAAATCCGATGGATGTCATAGTCCAAGAAGAAATGCAACCTGGAAATATCCTTCTCAAGGTGTGTTTTTCTCTTCACGTTTCGGTCCACAACTTCTACAAAAGCATCTTTGAAGGTCTTGTAGGGCTCCTCCTGGAAGTCCTCCACAGACATTCCGAGCCAAACAAAGCCCGCAAAGTAGTAAAACCAGCCCTGCATCGAGAGCTTCTGAACCATGTTCTTCACGTCAAGCACCAAGAGATCTTGTAGCGTCTTGCTGCGGTCACGACGAAGACCCTGAACGGGTCTAACGCGACTGTCATGTCTTCTAGCTCCGTGTCGGGAGCTGGCCCTTTGGGGTCATTCTTGAAGGACAAAGCGGTCAAACCGGGATACATCATGGGGTTCTGAATGAGACCAACCTACTAGCGACGGCCTCCAACCTAATAGCTTTTCTTGCTACTAGTAGCGATGGCCTCCAATGGATTGGGTCCCAAAACGAGGGAACTCTGTCTTGAAAAACCCGACACTGCACGGCACTCTGTCCGGCCAACACGGCGCCTGCTTGGAGGCTTTCATCGGAAACCGACCCCGTTGGCAAACACGACGCTTCAGTCCACACACGCATATCCAGTCTCCAAAATCCATTTGGAGAGCTGCCTGGTGGAAAGGCTGCTTCCCAGCCATGATCTCCTCTGCTTCTCAGGACCCCACTCTTGAGCCCAGTTTTGACACCAAAATCGAAGTGGCTGTAAGGAAAATCACCAAACTTACAGCATCAACCCCCCAACTCAGGGTGTGGCACCGAGCATTGTTATTTCGGCTTTGTGGGGGGATTCGTAGAGCTGCACTGTCTTTCCCTTTGCCCTGACCAAAAAATCACGGAACAACAGAAAAACAAATAAAGCGTCTGCTCTGCTGCCTGGCCTCTGGTGGACATCTCAAGTCGAGACCACCATGTTTTTCATGCTCGGTGTTCCATTCTGGCCACCGGAGGCCTGTGCGGGTTTCGTTCAGGAACAAATCCTTCATCAGTTCCATTCGCTGCCTCAAGACGTTTTGGTCACAAGCAAGATGATGCAAATTGCGTTGTGCTTCAACCTCATCAGGATCTCGAGTTGGGACAAATGTCATCGACTTTCCGTCCATTCTGAAATTCCACTGGGTGGGCCACCTGGTTTTGAGGAGCTTGGTGGCTCGGCATGTTTTCTTGATCTGTTTTGCTGACCGCGCTTTCAACCTGAAGGCAGGTTGTTCACAAACGTCCATCCCGAAAACGACTCCCAACCAGAGAAACGGCCAAACTCGATTTTGCAACATGTCTTTTGGACGGAAGGTGCCTGAAGGTGAGCCGGCGCCTTGCCTTCCCCTTTCGTTTGGCGCGCTCAAAAAGCTTGAGGCGCAATCTCCTCGACTGGGGAGCCGGCATAGCAACCAAGCGCACGTGGAGAGGCTGCTGCACTGATGCGTCGTTTCGTGCATTTCTTCGTGCATTTCTGTCTTCCGCTTCAATGTCAGAACCAAATAGATTGAACGATTGAACTATGACCATCTGATTTTTTTGATGTGGTTCTGCTCACTTGAGAGACAAACTTGAACCTGCAGGTGCACACACATCAGAGATATGTCCACGTCAACTGGGATCAGTCCTTTATAGCTATGCTGCTCCCATGTAGAATGTGTTTGTTGGCTCGACACCTTTCGGCAACAGCGAACGAGGCTTGCTGTCTTTTTCGTGATCGCTAAGACGAGGTTAAGGGTCGCAAGTTCCGGAGCGGGTGCTACACCAACATGCCGCAATGTTGTGATGCTCCCACGGCACATTATTCTGCCAGGCCTTTGCTGGATGTTTCTATCATGTTTCCGTAATTTGTTTGCAACTGACCTTGGCCTTACTACTAGGAACAAGGACGCTCCTGGCCTTACTACTCGGCCTTGGCCTGATGGTCGTTCACTCCTCTCTCGTTGTTTTTCTTTCCCAACTTTGCGGTTTTCACCTTGACCAACCTTTGCGGGTTTGACGGAGTCGGTCGCGAGCTCGAAGCAATTGAGTGAGGCGGACACTGGTCCTGGTCTGGGGTTGAGAGACTCAGTTTGACTGCTTCCCTTGCTTTCTAGGTTGGATGACAGTCTCAGGAAACTATTAAAGCCCGGAAGCCGAGTAAGAAAACTCAAATGGCTGAGTCAGGAAACCTGTGAAAGAATCCAAAGTCTTGGGAAGGTCCCTAACTTGGAAGCACGATCCAAAGCCGCGAGTCAGAGAACTCGAGTGGAAACATTCTGGGCCGGAGGGACGCGGGGTCTAGAAAGGTTTGAACTATGAGTCAGCGGAGAAGGGTATACTACTGGTAGCAAGGGCACTTCTAGGTTGGAGGCCAGCACTATTAGGTTCCTTTTGCTAGTAGTGGTATTGGAAACGGATCAGGAAACGGATCGGTCTTTTGTTGAGGAGCGAGAAAAAATCCAGCGAGCGTGGTTGGCCTTGGGGTGCGAAGCGTGACCGGCTTCTTGCGCAATTTGATTGGACGCACGGCTTCCTGAAGCCTCACCAGCCAGGTTGGAAGCTAGCCCACATCATATCCCTAGAAAACTTCGTCTTAAGCTCCAGGTCCCGCATGGCGGAGGGAGTATCTAGAGCACGGGCTCCAAGACGAACGGCGCTACATCCATATACGGTCTACTCCCTGAGGTGGGAACGTGATCAAAGGCACACCGACGGAACGACGGAAGGTCTGTCATGCTCAAAGGGTCAACGACGTCCATGAGGTCAACCCATGAGCGAATGCCAGACTGTGGAACCTCGAAAAGACATACCTCCTCAGGTGACTGGACGAAGAAGCCATCCTCCGCGTCCACCATGTTGGACGGCAGGACAATGGCAAACAGAGACACTGAAAAGAGCTCCAATTCCGCGAGGCACCCGACCAATCCCTACCTCGAAAAGACAAGCCCTTCATGGTCTGCAAATCCACCCGTGTCCGGCCGTGGTGTCCGTTTGAGTGTGTTTCTCCAAAGCCGCAACGGTTTGGCCCACGCCTTTGAACCAGGATTTGCTGCTCGGCGGAAACTGCCTGGGTCGATCGACAGAGCGCAGCAAGAGGTGCGAAGTGGGCGGAGTGAGCTGGGATGATGAGTCCAAGTACCATGATGAGTCCAAGCTGCACATAGCTTCCCTCAAAAACTGTTGCTCTTTCAATCTTCATGTCTCAAACAAGTCTTACAGAGTCCTCTAGTCCTCTCTGGTGAAGGCCATTACTTGTAGGTGGGAGGCCATTGCGCTTACTCTCCCGGGCTTTAAAACTCAGATTGTCGTGTGGAACCCCAACGGAATCTGAGGGGGCCTCTCTGATCGGGGGCTTTTCTGATCGAAGGATCTCAGCTCTGCCCGTCTTGTTCCGCCACGAATCGCGTCCGATCGCTCCGTTCGTAGCCATGCCCTTTGTTCCGTTCGGAGCGTCCTTGTTACTAGTAGCTATATCTGCTACTAGTAGTATTGCACTTGTTGCTAGTAGCGATGCACTTGCTACTAGTGGCAAGAAGCTAGTAGAAAGGATTTTCCGCGATCCGGATGTATTTTCAGGGAAGCGACACACATCTCCTAAAATAGACTTAGGGATACTTAGGGCAAAATAGGTGTGGGTCAAAACCTGGAGCTTCCAAACTCTGGTTGGTTGACCCAAAATGTCTCCCGATGTTGACCCGCCATAGTCTCACTGTTGACCCGCCGCGGTCCGCTTCGACGTTCACGTCCCCCGCTCCACCCACTCGACCTCTCTCGCTCGCCCAGGGGCGGGTCTTGGAAAATGTCCTTCACCTGGCGGGACAGGAAGCGTCCTTCTAGTTCCTAGCTTCTTGTTCCTAGTAGCTTCTTGTTACTACTAGTAAGGCACTTGTTCCTAGTAGCTTCTTGTTACTACTAGTAAGGCACTTGTTACTAGTAGCGATGCACTTGTTCCTAGTATCATCTTTTATCTATAGGTGTAACGGCTGGAAAGAAAAAGACCTGTTGGGGGCTGGTAGAGAGACCCCATCGTTCTTTTCATAGCCCATCCCCCATGCTCTTCCCAAAACCTGCCTTCGCGGTGCGGGTGTGAGGGCTGTACTCTTGACCCACACGGCCGCCCGTCTCTTGGAAGATCTGGTCTTTCATCTTCTCCATGCGAGTCTCCTGCAGTTCATCAAAAAAGGAACCTCTCATGTGTCCCGGAGGGCTTTGGATTTGCTGGAATCTTCCAATTTCAGATCATCTGAAGAGAAACAAAGAAGAACACGAACCTATCAGACACATCGTCAAAGAGAACCACTCCTCACGTTTTCACTCGCTCGTCTCCGCCCTCTCCCCCCCGAGCATTGAACCGAGGACGAGAGAACTCTCCTGGACGAGGCGCTGCTCCTCGCTCCATTGGCCACTGAATTCGCCGCTGATGAGCCGGAAGGCCTCGGTCCATTGAAACTCCTAGCGGCCGAAGAAACCGAAGGCGCACCACTCGACCAACGAAAACACACCGAGTTCGGCAGCGTCACCGGAACGTAAAACTGCACCTGGCATTCCACCTCTTACGATCTTCTAGGCAAACATCAAACATCTGAACCGGCCGAGGGCTAAGATCCAACGTCCACTGCTTCTCACCCATTGGGCAAACCTGCAAGCTGCTACCCGAAACAACCGCACCCGCCCCGAGTCTGACCGAGTCTGACCAAATCCGGAGGTGACGGACGGACGCCTCGGCCATCTGTTGGATGCACATGTTCCAGTTGTTTTCACCTCAGGGGTCGCTCGTTTTGGATCGAAAAAAGGGAGCGTTCGGAGTTTTTTTGGGGGTCACCCTGCATTACCCAGAAGGGGTTCAAAGGAAACCGCTCAATCTGTTCTAAACCGTTAGAGCTCGGTGCTAGCCAACGCAATCATGGAGAATCTAAAAAATCCTCCAAACCCAATGGGCACGAAAAAAGATGAAAATCTGTAAATCTTCATCCTGGAGACCCACATACCAATAAGAGATGATCGGCGCAGGGGCTGCAACCACCTCAGACCGCGAGACCGTCTGCATGGCGCCCCTCCGCGGCCGCTCCGCGGCGCAGGCTCTGCGCCACGGAGAAAGCGCTTGAGGCTGAGAAGAGTGGGCGAGCGCGGTCTGCCCGCGGTCTGCCCGCGGTCTGCGCGCCGAGAAGAAAACGGCGAATGATCGTTTGGGAAAGCTTGGCCTATACAACTAGTAGCTTCTTGTTCCTAGTAATGCCCGGAGCGCACCTAGTAGCGTCCTTGTTACTAAGTAGCGATGCCCTTGGTTACTAGTAGCTTCTTGTTACTAAATCGGATGAAGCGATGTTCAACACTGGTCAACTCACAGTTGTACTTTCGGAAAGGCTGTTGGGGGTTCTCATTTTTCAGGCACCAAAACTGTCATCATCTGTAATCCATCAATCATCATCAACCCACCCTGCCCGAAATGAGGATCGACAAGGACGAACTCTTCAAATATGGTGCCACACAGTGGTGTTTTGTGAAGAAGCTCGAGTGCTTTGTGTGTACAAACGAAATGGAATGGATCACTGGATACCTAATTGGGGCGAAAAGACCGGCCCAGGAGCATCGTCTAGTTCGTCTAAGCTTATCCCATTCTTCCCATCAACCTCCGCTTGGGGATCTTCGTTGCAATTCCAATCTTCCGAGCCCAGAACTACTTCAGTACCATTGGCCTCGGCTTGGCAGGGCAGCAGGAGCGACAGCAGCTCAGGGGGACGAATGCTTCCTTCCACCCTCGAGGTGGATGTTTGATTCGATGTTTGGATTCCATGGTCTTCTGAACCTGCTGAAGTGGATGTTGTGAAATAGCTGAACCTGCTTCGTTCGCTTCTCTGCTTGGTTCTTTCCACCACGTAGCAGTCATTTGGTCGAGTCAAGGTGCTATGCGGTGGCGTCAAATGAGCTGGTTCGAAGCATCAATCAACGCAACACCGAAGCAAGCTGGCTTATGAGAAAGGGAGAGTAGCAAAGGCAACACCAAGTGCACTCTCGGAGTCATAAGCTACAAGTAGATGATGAAAGCAGCTGTTCAAACATGACACCAAAATGAATGAAAAATGCAGGTGGTACTGGGAAGATGATGACCATTCCTCGAAAATCAGCAGCCCGTCCTACTAGCGATGGCCTCCAACCTAGACGTGATGGCCTCCACGTCATGGGTACTGTACCATCCTCCACACCTGAATGGGCATCTACCCGTCTTCGCCCAGGCACCATCCATGCAGCTCCAAAGTTCTCACCCGAGATCGTCACCTCCCTGGAGAGCGAACCAGGTGGCGAGGTAGGGCCCCAAGGCCGGAGAGTGATGTGAGGGTGGACGGTGTTGGAGAATGTGAGGATGCTGCTTCCACTCACCACCCGGTTTGGTCCTTCTGGCACACCTCTTCTGGACGGCAGTGAAACACAAGTATGGCCGCAACTTCAGAACTGAAGATCATGGCCAGTCTAGTCCACAACCCTCCTCATGTGAAACACAACTGCAGAAGTGGCCCTCGCTGGGCTTCCCCACGTCCCACCCCGTGCGGTGCCGTTGCTCGGGCTGATGCCCGTCACCGTGGGCCTCGCGATCGTCGTTCCCTTCGTTCCGTCGTTCGTGGTGTCCACCGGTTGCACCGTTCCCGGTGTCCATCCCGGTCATGGCCCGGTCGTCCGTTCGCCGGATCCGTTTCGGCCAAACGGGGGGGTCACACACCCCTTCTCCGAGCGGCGCGTTTCTTCGGACTCGCTCTCTCTCTCTCGACCGGTGGGAGTCGATCTTCGACTTCGCTCCGAGCATTGCACGTTTGGCTCAAAGAGAAGGTCACCGTGGCATTCGCATCGCCGGCGATCCACCTCAGAACAGCTCAGGTTAGCGCCCAACAGCTCAGGTGTAGCCTGGTTGTTTGGTTTGTGCTTTTGGCCACGTGGCAGTTTCTCATGGCCAACAGGTGAAAAGAACTGACCAAATGATGCAACAGGGGTGATTGGTGGCCCTCGTCTACCTTAATCTCCGACGCTCTTTAGGACTTACATGACCCGAAAAGAACCTGTCCCTCTACGAAGACCAAATCATGAAGGAAACACGTCAGTCTTGCCAACTCTACGAATCTGCCAATCTCATCTTTGGGCCCTTGTCAATATTGCCTATATGCCCTCATAAACCCATGAGCCTGCCTAAACAGCTCAAATCTTTAGCATCCCTCAATAACTGGAGAACCGAAGAGAAAGAAAAGAACAAATCTTCATCCACATTCATCCTCCGATCCTTCTTCACCCTCCTATCTGCCAAGTTTTGGGGTCTCTTCACTTTCACCCCCCAGGACTCACTTTCACCCCCCGAGGACTTGGGCCCTCCCTCGGGCGCTGGCGGCGTCGCGACTTGCAAGAACTCCGCGAAGGGATGAATTCCTCCACGCCAGGCCTCGAACGCCACGAACCGTCCGGACTCGGCGAACCGTCCGGACCCCGGGCGCATCGCGCTCCGCGTGTCCGGCGTGGACGTGTCCAAGGACGCCTGCAGAACGGAGGCGGGCAGGGCATCGCGACTTGGAGGGAGCGATCGGACCGCTACGAGGTAGGGGCTCCTGGCCTTACTACGAACGGAACAAGGACGCTTTTACCAGGCATCTACCCTTCAGACTTCGAACACTGGAGGCCAGGCTACACAGGGTCACCACAGGGTCAGGTACTTCGAGCATCCAATGAAGCTCGGGCCCCAAGCAGTGCGCCCCAAGTTCATGTGCAGACCTTGAGCCGTGGAGGTGCGTACCTCAGAGTCAACTCCGGTGTGCTGAAGAAAGCAAGTGAAGACCATAGAGGATCCACAACGTTTGGATGAACAATTCTATAAACGACAAAAATGTCGACATATGCTGCAAATGCATATCTATTAATACATTAATAGTACAGTGTGTATATATATAGATATACATATATATATATATATAATCACATGATGCATCTCCATCTCCGCGAATTAAGTCTCCCCCTTTTGTCTGTTCGAACTCTCGGCCATCCGATCCGTCGTTCCACCGCGGCACGTTACGCACCGCCACTTGACACGTCTCGGACGGCGCCACCAACTGGCCGATCACCTGCCACCGAGGAAGGCGAGCAAAGCACAACAGTTTGGGGTGCTGTCGTAGGTCTCAAAAAGCTACTAGGAACAAGGGCATCGCTACTAGGAGCAAGGGCCTTACTAGTAGTAACAAGAAGCTAATAGAAACAATAAATAGAATTTAATTAGAATTAAGAGTAATTAGAATCTTCTCTCTTCTCTCTTGTCTCCTCTTCCCTTCCCTTCCCTTCTCTTCTCTTGTTCTTGCAGCTACTGCGGTTGTCGTTGAGGGGCAGATTCTACCCCGCTGGGTCTACCCGGTAGAATAAACAAGCCTAGTCAACAGTGATAACATCACTGACTGAACAAACTGCAAAACACGTGTGCATGCCTCCTCCTTTCAGCCAAAAGTGGGTTCTGGTCTCCCATCTTCAATTCAGCCACTCAAAAGTCTTGTGGCAAAAAAAAACAACATCTGAGAGAATCTATCAACATGTTTTTCAGAAACAAGCGTCACATCACCAAACTCAAAGGGAGAAACCTCAGGAAAAATAGCCTCCCTTCTCCTTTTGCTTCTCTCCAAACAGCGCTCCAACACTGAGCGCTTTCTTTCAAGCGCCACCTGCATCTCGGTGAGCTGACAGTTCCCAGTGGGCGAGGTAAAGCGAACAAAGCGTCCGGTGACCGGGGAGTCCAACCTGGGCTGACGGAGCGTGAGAGAAGCAACGGATCTCCAGGAGAAAAAGAAAGCTTCTTAGCTACTAGTAGCGATGGCCTACCTACTAGCGATGGCCTCCAACCTACTTCCGATGGCCTCCAACCTAGTAGCTTCTTGCTACTAAGCTTTAGATACTGGAGGAAACTCTTGCTTCTTGTGCCAAAGGAAACATGCCAAGATCAAAGAATTCACACATCCAGTTGGGTGTCCATGTCCCCGGACGTGACTTCGTTCCACAGCATCTTTGGCGTGACCCTGGAAGGCACGGTGCACGGTGATGCCACGGCGCAGGTCGCGGATGGTTACGGACCGTGGGTTTGGAGGTAAGAACACAATGACATCTTGATCCACCGAATCAGTTCTGGAACATGTCACGGATGAAATGTTGAGTTTGGGTGGCGACCAACATGTCACCGATCAGTTGTTTGGCTTCCTTGACAAAGTGAAGATTGTTTTACGGATTTCACGGTACAAAGCCAGGTCAACCATGGTTTGAATATGTTTTAGTGGCCTTCCAATAGGCTAGGGTCTAGGGTGAGTACATCCGGAATTTGACCTTCATAGACCTCGCTGGATGCCCTCGATGCATCTCGATGCTAGATACTTGGCCTTTCATCTTCGTTGGCAGGCCGAGGCACGAGATGGTGGCCACATCCGTCCAGTCGATCTGCGGCATCTTGGGGTTGCAGAACTCTTTGCCTGCCGCGTCACGGACGATGGACTGGAGACCTCCAAATCAGGAGACCTCCGTCGGCGACCCGGTTCAGACATAGACCGGTCAACTTAGCGTAGGTTGGAGGTCATTGGTAGGTAGGACAGAGCGGCCTCTGAACAAGTCCGTTTTGTACATGTAAAAGGAATGCGCTGTGTTCTTTTAGCGGGTTGAAAAACCTCCACAACGCGACACCGTCACTGACACGTCACTGGTTGAAGTCGGAGAAGTCTGAGAGTCGGTGCTCTCAGTTGGCTCTCGAAAAGGTCCGGTGGTTGAAAACCGAAAGAACAACGAGGTAACAGCGACTGTTCATCCGGTCGTCGGCGCTTCAACGGAGTGGCATGGCTGAACGAGCGACAGTGACTTTTCCGCATGTCCCGAGGCACCTTACTATTATAGTAGCAAGAAGCTACTAGGAACAAGGGCCTTCTTGACTTCAACTATCCAGTGACCCCCTTGGTTGCCAAGGTCCTGCGTCGTCCCACTTTGTCCTTCTCCTCCAGAACTGAAGGTAGGATAAGGTTTAGGATGGTATAGGTGTCTGATTTCCCGCATGGGTCGCTTCTAGAAGCTCCACACAAAGGCCGGCACAATGAGTTGATTGGCCCGTTGCTCACAGGCCAGGCAGTCGTCCACCATTGGTGAAGCACCAGATGCCGTTCAGCAAACCTCTCAGCGAGCGGCTTGGGGGCCTTTTCGAAAGGAACCTGCAGTTTTTGCGGTGCTCAAAACAGCAACCCACCAACTCAAGCTATGAGATCTAAGCCTCTGAGCGGCTATATATGACGACAAGGAAGGTTCAAATGATTGATCCGCGCGCACCGCAAGGAAACAAACTTCAGTTGTTGCTCTGTCGTCTAACCCTCTTGCTGCAGTTCCTTCTTCCTCGGCCCAACAGGGATTGCAGAAACGGGATCATCCGGATTCGCTGGACACGGTGAGAGGTTCAGTAGTTTTTGCGGTGCTTTGCTAAGGCTAAGGGTTCCCTGGTGAAGAATCCGCATTCTCAACATGCTTCAGTTCACTTCGCACTTTGTCTCGCTCCCTTTTTATCCTCCAGTTCACGGATGTGCAGTGCGCTTGGCTCAAGAGTGGCTTTGTGCAAGAGGAACAAAGCAACAAACGAAGACGAGCCGCGTGGCTGCAGAGATTGGCCGGGGACCGAGCGCTCGGGACAGCTGCGGCCCACGGGTCTCCCCCGTGGGGCGGTTGTGTCGGTGGGACGCATCTGCAAGTCACTTCCGAAACACCACCAGGTGAGCTTCTTGAATCTCGAAAAGCAAGCACTTGCCTCTTGTACCGGTCTGAAACTTCTGAAACCATGCATGTCTTATCAACTACTAGGGTGGAGGCCATCGCTTGTAGGTTGGAGGCCATCAAATCTGTTGAGGACTCACTTCAAGGACCAGGAAAGTCGTGTGGTCATGTCTCTCACAATCGCCCTCTTTGGAATGACAGGGAAACATGTTGGGAATTCCATGTTGCCTGAAAAATCGATCTAGCTTCTTCATCATTGACTAGACTTAGCACTGTTATTTGGTACAGTTACGGTTGATACTGGTATGTTCTTACTTCTTGTGATTGGTGATTGGTATGTGTTGATTAATTGTTTAGTACTTGTACTGTTTATACAGTTTGTAGTGTTTGTATCGTCCATGAAACACATTGCTTTAGTTCGTACATTACAAAGAACACTGCAGAACACCCCGGAATGCCGTCCCAAGCGTGCATGCGTGCATTGCACCCCAATTGGCGCACGTGAGACGAATTGGACAGCTGAAGCTGCCTGTGATCTAGTGACCTAGCCCTCACCAATCCCAACAGCAAATCAAACGCATGAGAACTGTTGAACTGCCCAATCGGATACCTGAAATCCTACAGGTTGGTGCGAGCAACTTCAGAGTACAGCATGATCGTCTCTCATCTTGTGAGGGCGCCACTTCGGCGGGTGAGAGACACGCTTCAGTTCAGCTCGAGTCGCGCCAACATGTGCGAAGAAATCGAGATAGAAACCGATGTAGCGTGGCTCAAAACGCTTCTCAAGCACAAAGACGGACATCTACGATCCACCTGACGTTCTGTCTTTTGAGCCATGTGGAGATGACCAAAGGCTTCCAGGCTCGGCTGTACCACAGGGGTGGTCAGTAATGTGACTCTTGGACGTTCCGATTCGCCCGAGCCTAGACTCACCTTATACTTCTTCCAGTGAACGCACGAACGTTCCACGCGGTTCAGTTGGCAGATTCTGCACTCCGCATGGAAAGCAAGTGGATATGATTTGTGGAAGACCTCAAAATATATTCTTGTCTGGTACTATGGCCTCATGGGCGTTAACACCCATTGAAACCAGACAGATCAGATCATCTTCAAAAGAGAGGCAAGTTCGGCTGTGATGCTAAAATTTCACTGGACATTGCGCGATAGCTCACCAATCCGGTGTTCAAATTAATCGCTATGGCCCACCCTTTCCATCAACTGCACAACTCAAAGAAATTGGATGCTTTTACAAGGTCTAGGCGGGTGGACCACCAGGTTAGCTACACTTCGATGCTGCGCAAGCTCGGGTCGAGAACCAAACAGAATTGGAGACGGGGGACCATCGGAGACTGAGCGACTTCTTCGGCTCTACCAGGACCTAGCTTGCACCATCGCGACCTCCACTCAGATCCATTGACCTGATCGAAAGAAACCGGATTCGACACTTGACAAAGCAGGAACACTTGATTTGGTCGGAAAACTAGCTCCATCAACTTGCAAAACCCAAAGAATGAAGTACTGAGGCGAAGGTTTGGTTCCTCCTCTGAAACCATGTCCGACGTGAAAATGACAGCTGCCTCTGTTCTCAGAGAAATAAACAGCGATGACTCTTTTCAGCCACGGAAGAGAGTTCTGAGGATGCACCCACCGTGTGGGGGCACAAGAAATACAGGAATGGAACCCACAAAATGCCCAGGTTGGAAGCACATCTGCGTTGTCTCAACATTTGGGTGTTTTTGCCTCACCGCCCTTAGCCTATCCTTGGCTATTGACGTCACGTTCATTGGAAAACGCCCATTCTTCGTGAAGAAAAGTGGCATGTCATGCCTGAAGGTTGTCCACTGTTCTTGTGCCAAGGAGGAAACGGATTCACGGTCACCTTCCAAGATGAAAAACGCACAGCTAAGCGCGAACACCACAAACTGTAAGGTGGAGGTGCAGGACCTTGGGTGAACTTGGACTTAGGCGAAGGTACCAATCGCAAAAGTGTCAGCCTGACGGCTGACGAAAACAGAAATATCCTGAAGCTGGTTGAACTTTCCCATCCCCCTTTCCCAGACTCTGCATGATACTTGGCACATTTATAGGGTGCTTGGAACGGGTCAACCAGTTGGTTTGCTTGGGTGTTGGACATGAAGCCGTTTTTCAGGTCACCAGCTGCACCAGCTCAGAGCCGGAGGGGCCGAAAGAAGGCCTTGTAAGCCTCAGACCCGAACCGAAACAGGAACGGAAAAACAAAAAGGAGCATAAGCCATAGGGCCATAGGGCCATAGGGCCATAAGCCATAATTGGGGTTCACGTCTGTGGCGCTTGAAACAGCGCAAGGCCCATCGAGTGGACAAGGCCATCAACGCAGAGGCGCAGTCCGAGGCAGAAAGTGGGCCGATTGGGTCTGAAAGGCCAGGAAGGAGGCGTTCCAACTTGCAGCTCCCAACAACCTCGGATGCAAAGTTCACCCCTTCCGGTGAGCTGGAACTGTGGGGGTTAGCAACCTTCAGGTGGGCCAGCATCAACGCATGCCGCGTTGGCTTTTGTATCCTTCTCTGAAAAGCACGTCTTTCAGCGGCTCCAAAACCGTTGGAAATAGGCTTCTCCCGCCTCTTGGAATCATGAGGCCCTCAACCTTTGCGACTGCCCGCGCATGTTGGACACAAGGGCAAAGGCCAAAGCCGTGGACTTCAGGAAATCGGAAGCGGTTCGGTCGAACCTTTTGGCGCAGAAGACCCGTCATACGCGCACCCAACCCAATTCGATGCCTTCAGACTAAGGATCCGGGAGCCGAAGCATCTGCACTTTGGATCCAGTGTCCTCACAAGGGCTGCAGTCAATGCGGATGTGCTCACATCGCTGCTCTGAGGATTTCAAAAGAGGTTCTTCTTCCTTGACAATCACACCTGGCGCTGACAAAGCCACGAAGCTTTGCAGCAACCGGATGAAACAGGTCAAGGACCAAGGAGAGCAAGGAGAGGAGAAAATGGCTCGACCACAAGTTGGACCACAAAGTTCCCGAATCACGTTTGCGCAGGAATTTGGAGTTCTTCGAAAGCAGGGCGAGATCATCAGGGCCACGGCCACCGGGAAGCCCAGATGCTTTACGGTGGCTCTACACGAGTCACGATAGACCTTTTGCTTTGGGAGTGACCCGCCGCCAACGAAGCCACCGTGAAAGCTGAGGATTCCTCGCTTTGAGCGAATCAAAGGCACCAAAACCACAGCTAAGTGAGGGATCACCAGCTGCGGATTTGGGCAACAAGCTGCCGACAAGAGGAGCGAGAGATTGAGGACAAGAGGGGAGAGCGAGAAGGAGATGAAGGGGTCATCGGAAAGACGCTTCAATTGGCTCTTGCGTTGGCCACCATCGCGAAAGTTGTCGTTCGCAGGCTCCTTGCTTGGCTGCGGCCCAATCATCTTGAGGACAGTCGGGGGACAGCTAGAGGGTTGCTGGACTTCAGAGGCCCTCTGGATCATCAGTGCTCCATCCAGCTCGGCCGCTTCACGGAGTGCGGAAGAGCTACGCGCTCCCACATCCTGTTGGATGACATACGAGTGCACCCGTGTCGTACGACTCTCGTCATCTACTATTTAGTCACGAGCATGAATGGATTAACGAGAAGCTCTAGGTTTGCTCAATCCATGATTGAACCTGTAGGTTGGCAACAGCTCATGAGAGCTGGGCAGGCCGAAACAAGGCCTTGCGTGGAAGGGTTCGTGTTTGAGGTTTCAATTCTCAAGTGCAAGCGCTCATTCGTTTTGAACCACGACCAGCGCTGACGAGACCCTTTTCGACCACGGATGCGATGCCAAGCCTCACTGGAACAGGAATGCTTCCTTCTCGAGGACGGCTGAGTCGCTGTCCCTCAGCACAACGTTCCCGTTCGGAGCGGGTCGGAGGTTCGGCACGTTCGCGCCTCAGTGATCGAGGGATGGGTCTTCCCATCGCCTACTAGTAACAAGGGCATCGCTACAAACGTAGTAAGGACGCTAGCAAGAAGCTATTAGCTTGGAGGCCATCGCTATTGGCCGGAGTGAACCTACCACGACCGCTTCCAGACGGTTCAGTCAGGCGGCCGATATTCCAATGAGATCTTATTTTTGGACTTGGAGGACACTTGCATCACCTTCTCCACGCACTCCACATTGACTTGAGCCTCCTGAAACGACAGGAAGAACGAAACGTGGACCCGTGGACCCGTGGACCCGTGGACGCGTGGACGCGTGGACGCGTGGACCGAACGAACGAGGAGCTGAAAGCACAGGCCATCGTCCTTCCTTTCCCGTCTAGATTCACAAGTGAACTTAAAGCTCCGGGAATAGACCATCTAGAGTGTACAAAACAGGTGAGATGGACTTCCTCTCACTGACACCAAGGACCACGCCTTTCTTCTTTCGCAACAAGGACCGTTCTCACTGTCTCACCACCCGAACGTCTGCCACGTGAGTGGTTCCAGTCAAGCCACTTTAGGGGCTGCGAGCACCTTCGCCCGCGGCACAGATGTCTTATCGTACCTGAAAAGCGAAGGCAAAGGATCCTCGGGCCAAAGGGCCACTCAGAAGCGGGCTGTGCGGATAGCGTCCAAACAAACTACCCCACCGTTCATTCCATATGCACCCTTGCATGGTTTACTGCTCGAGTTCTTTTACGAGCATCCCCGCATCAAATGACACAGTCGCTTTCGTGTTTCAGCGGAGCTTCCACCCAACTGTTATGTTTCAACGAAGGTCGAGCATTTTGAAGTGTGTCCAATCAATTTGTAAAAGGGATGTGACTACTGAGCGCCCGCCATGCATCGCGCCCCATGCCATGGAGGCCATCGGTTTCAGGGCCAAGGCACGGAAGACATCCAAGCCCTCGGCGATCTTCAAAGTTGGGCCTCAGCGAAGTAGTTCGAAGAAAGGCCCGTGCCTAGCGATGGCCTCCAACGAGAAATGGTTTCTTTGTTCAGAGAATGCAGCCTTTGGGTCAATCACAATATCGGATCAACTTACACAGAATTCTTCGCCCCTTTTGTGCAACTCTGTCAGACAAAGAAATGAACTGTTCATTCAACAAGGATGATCAAAAAACGAAGAACTGCCAACAGGAAAGCAGTTGGGAGGAACGCTCCAGACGACTCTTCCGCCGAGGAGCAAGTGGCGTTCATGGACCTTTGACACAAAGTCCAGCGCCACATCCGGGGAGGGGAAGGTCGCCCAGGCAAAGCCGCGACTCTTCCCGTTGGAGAAGACAGGGTATCTCAAACGCTGGGGTTCCTGAGCGTCGACACTGAAAAGCACCAACTGTCCAAGAAAACGACCCTGTGCGTCACGGATCTTGGCTCAGCTCTGCATCGCCATTTTCAACTTTCCGACGCGCTGCGACGCGGTGCGACTTGGGCTTCGAGGCACAGGAGCTCCCAGAGTTGCTAAGAAGCTAATGAACTCGGCGCGTGTGACTCTCCTCAGATGTGTTGGACGCTCTTGGGTTGGAGGCCATCGCTCGTAGGTTCGAGGCCAAAACATCAAAAAACATGCATTTAAGAGCTGCCAGAGGACACAAGAGTCACAAACGCGCAAAAACTCACAAGGTTGATTCTATAACACACCACTGGACCCCACATCCAAAACCGAAAAGCAAGCTGTCTAGCATCACAGTAGATCCTTCTTTGATGATCTTCCCCAAAACCGTTCCCCCCTCCCCAGCATCACAATCTGCGAAGCTTCGGCGGCACGTTGGCCAGGAAGAGTCGATGCACCCCGCCCCAACGCGGATCCTCCGGCGCGAGGCCTGACCGTCACGACGCGCTGACCCGGACCGCCGGACGCCCTGACCGTCAGGTCGGTCGATGCATGATGTTTCGCAGTTCGAGCTCACTCTGACTAAGTTGCTAGACCCTACTACCAGGAGCGGTCGGACGCTACGAACGGGGCTCCTGGCCTTACGAACGGAGCTAAGAAGCTAGTAGTAACAAGGGCATCGCTAGAGGTCAGAAGGTGGAGCTCCAGCCTTGACGGCCTCGCTCTTCCACAGGCTGATCATTGAGGGCCATCCGGTCCTAAACACCGGAGATGGCGGTGCCCGAAAGGCTGGGCACCACCACCCCGAATTGGGCACCGGAGAAGACCAGGCACCTCAAAGGAATCCTGCCAAATACGCGGAATCACTCGCGGAATCAGTCGGGGAACCAGATCCACCGGCCCCCCTGGAGCCCAAAAGATGGCGGAGAGCTGGTGCTTGGGCGCGCCGCATTCGACTCGGCAAGCTGGTTGACTTTCAGAAATTGTTACTAGTAGCTTCTTGCTCCTAGTAGCGTCCTCTTGTTCCTAGTAGTAAGGCCAGGAGCCCCGTTCGTAGCGTCCTTGCTCCGTCCGTAGCGATGCCCTGGTTACTAGGAGCTGGGTGAATGATCGAAAGAATGACTTCGCTGGGTCTTGGACTCGCCAATCAGCCAAGCCCAAAGCCTTGATTCACTCTGCGTCCTGAGTGCGGGACCATCACCTTCGTTCTTCTTCTTCTTGTGGGCACCTGGAAAAGTCCGTGGACGGAGACGTTGCAGGCCAAGTCTTCACAGGTGGATCGTGACTTGAGCGAACAAGCGTAAACCACGTGGACGATCCTTCACGTTGACCTCTCAAGGAACCTAAAGGCAGTCTTAGTATTAACTCCATTGCTACTAGGGTGGAGGCCATCGCTCTTAGGTTGGAGACCATCGCTATTAGTAACTCAAAAGAAGACCGTTTTGTCGTATCAATTGATCCTTCTTTGCTTCCAAAGGCGCTCCCAAGCTCTGGATTGCGGCAGTAGCTGTGCCCCTGGAGCTCCGGGAAGTCGGTCAAGTCCGCCCATTCTGGCGAGATGGGGTGAAGGTTCGCGAGGGCGGGAGGGAAAGGGGAGTCCTTTGTTCGGATGCTTTGAAGAGGTGGTATTTGATGGTAGTTTCATGTCGTTTCCTACTCTGAGTGAAGGGGGGGGCCTTAGATTAGGATGTTCCTTTCAGCTGACAAAGGGATACAAGAAAGATCAAGAAAGGTTGTTGAAGAAGTTCTAACCTGTGTTTGCCTTAACCAAAAGACTTCAGATCTATGAATCTGTCGGGGGGGGTGGGACATCAGTGAAGCTCAGACACTTGAACCTGGTGGACCATCCACATGTAACCACGTGTCCAGGCAGTTTCCTAAGACCTCATGAGGCAGCAAGCAACCAGCTCGGTAACGTTGCCAGGCACACTGTCCCAACCTCGGCCAGGAAGAAGCTGCGGACGTCAAACGGTGTTTGTTAATCCAACGGTGTTTCATCCCTGACCCCTGCGGCCGTCAGTGACCACCCTCGTTCTGTGTTGACGCGGCTCCAGTCAGCAAGTTCATCAAGCCTAAACCCTCCTACCTGTCCGTCCGAGCTTAACCTTCCTCTGCCTCTCTCACATCCGGTTGCCCCTCGCGCAGATTAACATGGCCAAAACCACTGAGGATATACTTGGGGGTCTTCAAGAAGCTACCCAGCCCACGAGCACCGGAGCTTCAGCTTTTGTAGAAGACGCTCGAGGCGATTGGCAACTTCAGCGGTGTGTTTCACTGCAATTCTCAGGGCTTGGACTGAGGCAAGGCTCTCCCTTCTCAGTCACATCCTGGGCGGATGGACACGAACAGACTAAGCCCAAGAAGCGACCAGGAAATAACAAAGCAAGAAGAACAATCAGAAGAAGAAGAAAAAGTCGCTATACTCTCTATCTCGCCCAATGCTCAAGAATGCACCAAAAAGGGTCGTTGAGCACGCCCGCCGCCCAAGACTGCGACCCGCCTGACACCCTGCGTAGTCCACCCCACGCCAGCCATAGCCTCAGACTTCGACTGCGGAGTTGCAACACTGCTTGGCCTGGGAAAGAACTCCTCAAATCGTTGGGAGTGGGTTTCCTTATGCATTCATTTGAGGAAGACTGCGCATGAGATGCCGTGCGGTATCTTGAGGTTGGAGGCCATCGCTAGTAGGATCCCTGCTGTGACTCCGATCGTTGATCCAGGCAAGGAAATCCGCTCCCAACGGTGTGAGAAGTTCTTTCCGGATACCCCTTTTTGGAAAATGGGCAGCCGAGGTTGTCAGGAAGAAACTTGCCCACAACATGTTGCCACACCTGGCTCATTGCATGTCTCGATTCGCTCACACCTCGAGAGAATTGGCCTATCGTCAAAGACTTCCTTCCATACGGAGACCCGAAGACACATTGGGGGGGGAGAGGACGCTACTAGGAGCCAAGGGCATGGCTACTAGGAGCAAGGACGCTACTGGAGGCCCTGAGCTTCCTTTCTTCCCCTGCTCTGAGCAGTCAGCTGCTCAAGGGGGGCCCGTGCGGAGCTCATCGCAGGAAGAAGAGCTCAAGGAGCCGATTTGCATCTTAGAGTTGATGTACTGATCTGCCTGGAGACGCTCAGCTGGAGCTCAGCTGGAGAAGCTTGAAAGCTGTTGTGACTGGGGGCTGTCAGGTGACGATGTTGAGGTGGTTCAATGGGCTTGGGAAACAGGGTGTAAGAGCATCTGGCAAAGAGAAATATATATTTGGCTCAAATCATCAAATATCATCAAATCAGTTCCAGCCATATCACTCTCCAAGCCAAAAGGGTGTTCTTCTCATGTCCCTTGTCTCGGTCAAAGAAGACCGCTCCACCTCAAGCGCATCGTAGAGCGGATGCCACCGGATCTTCTCCACCCGTGCATTGGTGAAGGCACCGAAGTCCACACCTCATGCAGCTTTTCTTTGCTTCGTTGCTCCACACTTCAGACTCCCCAACAATCCCAGAAACTGTTTTTTTGTGTTTTTGGGGATGACTCAAAGTTGTCCATTTCCTTGAGTAGTTCGAGGAGATTCAAGGAGTGTATCAAACAGCGTTTCCCAAGGGCCAGCAGCTAGCAGAGGGGCTCTCTGCCTTCCTATCGGCCCTATCGCCCCACTGCCAGCAGGTTGCGCCACTGATGTCACACCATCTCACTCAACAGCCTCACCGCCCACCTGAAACTCACATGGCCTCCAACCCAATAGCAATGGCCTCCATGAAAACGAGCGATGGGATCCAACGTTTTAAAGAAAAACATCCACACCAACCCACTTTCCATCACTTTTTTCATAGGAACTGAAGATTCTCCACCTTGGCTACGAACATCGGTGGGCCCCCTGCGCCCCCCTGGGGCCCTCCTGGGGCTCCCGGGCCCACATGGCAATTGGTGCCGGAAGTTCCTCGTCGATGCTGCGGCACATCGCGGCAACACGATGCACCAAATTCGGGGTGTTTTCACATGGACAGAAGGCGAATGGATGTTTGTTCAGGGTGAGTGCATTGTTTTTGAGAGATGATGCCAGTCTTTCTATAGTCTTCCCCTAAGAGGATTCAAACGACGGATTGACGATCCGCAGCGACGGAGACACCGGTCCGGTCAGGCCGTGCGGTGAAGCCGTGCGCCTCCGACGATCTCCGGGTCATTGTTGAAGACTGCCACGCAAGTGGGATGTCCAACCTGGCGCTTGCACCGACAAAAAGGGCGAAGCTCAACAGAACAATGCAGTTGATCCATCTTGTCAGAGGGACTGTAATTCAGTTATATCATGTGCCCCACGTATCCCCACATGCTCAATGTTTCGGGTGCAGGTAAGTTGAGTTGCTGTAGTTGCACACAATCCAGATCGAGATTCATACTGCATGTTCAACAGTGATCAACTACTGAGGCACGGTACCATGATTGACGAGATTTCAAGCGCCAACAACAAGTCCATCAACCAGCAGCTCTAAACAGGTGGAGTATCCACTCTAAAATCCAACCCTTTGGATGGCATGCGGCGTTTAGACAAGTCCATCAAGTGCCAAAAGGCTATTGGCAATCAGACCTGAAAAAAAAAAGTAATATATATATATATAAACATTCACACCCGAATCGGACTGGCAGCGGCCAGTTTCTACCGTCTTTGTGCGTCCTGGTTCGCTTGGGCACTCGTCTTGGTGCCAAAACGACACCGGACCTCGAAGTGGTCCTCGCCCACACCGTGGAAGCACGCCTTACGACACCCAAAAGCGCCGCTCGGGCGCTCCAGAGTGGCAAGTTGATGCAAGTGTCATTGTTTCCAGGTGGATCTTTCTCCCTCAGCTTGGAGAAAAAGAACGAAGAAAAGAAAAAAGACATAGAGTTGTTTCTCCTTGCCATCTCAAAGACATAGAGTTGTTCTGAGTTGTTTCTCGTTTGCTCACTTGACCGAGACGACCGGCGACGCTCAGCGGCTCGGCAACCGAGACACCGCGCAACCGGTGTTCCAGGAATGGTGTTTGGCCGCCCCGTTCGTAGCGTCCTTGCTCCTAGTAGTACGGCCAGGAGCCCCTCGAAGAAGACGTGTGAGGAAACCCCCCGGAAGATTCACGAAGATTCGCAAGACAAGGACCACTAAGGCGACTCTCCTAAGGTCCCTGGCAGGAGTTGCTGTGGAGGCCAGTCCAGCATCACGAGAGATCACACGTGGTGCAGGGAGCACCTGGGAGCCCAGTGAAATGGGGGTGGTCTGAGCGGTGCAGAGCAAAAAGTCGGGCATATCACCAGTGGGTTTAGGGAGTCCCTGATCAGGCTTCTTGCAATTGCAAAAGAGGTTTCTGTCACGCAAAAAATCTTCCGGAACCGCCTTAGTAAAAGGCCTTTTAATCATACTGAGAGTCATACTGCCCATGGGAGGCTCTAGGGCAGTTGGACTTTGAGAATGATTTCTATAGCGGAAAGGAGCGCCGCGAGTGGCGAGGTCATCCGAGATCATGCGAGATCTATCTATATGACTATATGTCCATCAATGGCCTCTCTCACTGGGCCTTCTGACAATCGCATCTGAACTGCCAGCCGCCACGGAAGGCGTAGTCACCTGAGTAGCTTGGAAGGGTTTTTGTAGGGGGGGCTCACACGAGGCCATACATGTTTGGTCATATTGGCGTCTGTAAGTTGAAGAAAGAGAGACTCCCAAAGACCCCAAAAGATCAGAAAGGACTGCGTGGCTCGGAGCGTTTGCTGTCCAGACCGATCTGAGATCTGAGCAGTGTGTTCAACCCCGAATTCCACCGGTGATTCACCCGTGAGAGCTCTAGGCCCAAATCAACCCCGAAGCCAAACAAATCAACCGAGACTTTGGGATAACTGCCTGGTGGAACATCAGAGCCCGAAAGACTCAGGCTCCGGCATTGGGGACGATGCAGTCCACCGATGTGTAGTTTCCAGTGACCTCAGAAAGACGCATCAGCAAGCCGCGGGTCATGGCGCACCCGCGACCCATTTCACACTGGTAGGTTGACCTCATGAGGTTGACCTTCTTTTCATGCTCCATGGTCAACCAGGGTTCCGAGGTTCTGACCTGCAGCCTATGGCAGAACCCACCCCCGCTGCCGAGATTGATCGGAACCGGCGAGCTGCAGATTGCCAAGCACTTCTTCGCCATGGATGCTTTGGCACATTAAGCTCCTCGACTCCTCTCCAGCTACCCAAAACATCCGTGTGTCACTGTGTTGTCCCTTCCTCCAAAAAAAAACACAACACAAAAACCACTCGCTTTTAGGTTGGAGGCCATCGCTATTAGGTGAGCTCAAGATGCTGCCGCTTTTCAGTTGGAGGTCGCCCCCCCCCAGGCCCACACGACTCCCACTCCCCCGTGCACGAGCCAAGCGACCACTTCACAGAGCTTTCCACAGACGCTGACCTCCACGAAGGTCTCGGCACCTTCTTTCAGGTCGACACAACGACGCAACCGATCTCTGAAGCCTTGGACTTTTGGACTCCAAAGTCTCACATATGTTCAAGCTCGCGTGTTTCAGAAGCTATACCTATAAACCAAGCGCATCGCTACGAACGGAACAAGAGGACGCTACGAACGGAGCAAGACGGGCGTCGCCTTCACTCTCCGGGGGCGCAAAGCCTTGACCCGTGAGAGTCAACGTCCAGCCTGAGTGGTGAACGAAAAGAGTCTCGGCTGACTGGGTCTTGTTCACGAAAGAACGAACAGGAAGTGGCTATTGACCTAGACTGAAGATCGGGTGATTGGAATGTTTGGGGCCGAGAAATAGAAACGAAATGCACTTCCTAGGTCGCTGACTTGGACGGCAGTTTCACGAAGATCACCCACGACGCCAAGGGTGTGAAGGGGCCGAATGCACGAGACCCCGGATCTGTTCTTCTTCTCGTTCACACCATGCAAATTCAGAGATCGAAGAAAAATAGTGCAATGACAAGCAGACCCATTCCTACCAACCATGAGACGGAACCCAACAGGTACTCCACGGATTTTTGTTTGCCAAATGAATACAAAGGCAAACCAGAAGTGCAAAAACCAGTCCAGTCTGAGAGATGCTTTTGTCCAAACCCAGCCCTGGAAGCGCGCAGCGCGTTGAGCGCATATTGAGACTTCCACCACCGCCCAAAGAGCTCTGAGTGATCTGGCAACACGTCGTCGCTGAGTCAGAAATCATGCGAGAGAATCTTGGAGCAACACCAGCGAACTGTGCAAATCGAAGAAAATGGGTTTCCCCACCACCAGGTTCGGGAAGTAGCAAGCGCGAAGTAACCGAACAAGAAGCTACTAGTAGCAAAGAGCATCGCTACTAGGAGCAAGGATGCTACTAGGGGCTCCTGGCCTTACTACTATAGGAACAAGAAGCTACTATGGGCTTCTTGTATGAGAAATCGTCCAACGTGTTGGGATCTCCGAAAAATGTTCACAAACTCGCTGGAGGCCATCGCTAGTAGGGTGGAGGCCATCGCTACTACTCAGTTGGAGGCCATTGCTATTCAGTTGGGGAACAGTTCCGTTTGCACTTTGCCTCGCCATGGGAGGCAGTGCTTTCGATGCTCAAGGGCATGGTAATCCTCAGCACTGCAAGGAAGGTAAAGAATGCCTATATGGCCGATGCCACACCGATAGCCGTGCCCTAGGTGATGCCAAGGGTCGTGGCTCCAAAAGCCGGGGAGGTGTTAAGCATACCCCGGTCTACTGAACCGGTGTTTGCATGTGTTTTGCATGTGTTTCTCCCATTCAAAACGAACCCCAAGCGGCCCGGGTCGCGCCAGGCACCGGATCGCTGGATCGAACTGGGGCGACTGGCCACGTGGATTCTTCAAAGGTCACGCCTCAGTGAGGGCGGGAGAACGTCGGTGAAGGGGCCGAAGGGAGCTGAGAGCGAGCTGCATGTGTCACGTCTCCACCGAACTTGTTCTGGTTGAATATGGGGCCCAAACAAGCTATATGTAAGGTCATCTACTTCTTCATCGAAATGGTTGGCACAAAATAGACGTGAAAGAACACCACTGGAGATACGGCGAGTGTCTTCAAATTGGTCAGAGAAAGCTGATCAAACAAGAATGCACCCTCCTCTGCTTTCTGCTAT